AAACATAATAATAAAGATAACAACAAAACATAAGAAACATAATTATAAATATAAAAACTAGTAATTAACTGCACACTATGACAAAATGCCAAACTTCGTTACCACTTTGTTTGTTTTCATCCATTTGATGTAGATTTGATCTTTCTCATTTTGATGTATTTCGTTGAGCTAACATGTGTTAACTTTCCTTCAAAAGCTTTCCAGACCAAATGACCGCCCAATACGTTAACCCATGCACATGCCAAAATCGTATCTTCTACGAGGTCCAAGTTATAACCAATGGCTTCTCTATCTTAATGGAATCAAATTGAGTGTCTGTAGAAGACATTTTACATAGATAGAATTGAGTGAGGTAAGATGATTGTTGAAGGTTTTGAAAATGGCAAGAATTGGTCTTAGTTGTTGGTATTTATTTTGAAAAAAAATGTTAAAATTTTGAATTTTAGGGTTAAGAAACGATAAAAAAAGGATAAAGATGAGAGAGAATGTGACAAACTTTGTCGAGTGGGAACCTGGAACGTGACATGTGGAGCAGTGTGTATCGAGCCACATCAACATATGCTAGAGGACATGTCGTGTCACTTTATAGTCTTATGTTTTATGTCCCTTTGTGACTCGATGTCCTCTTATGACCTCTTGTCGCTCTTGTTTTTATGTTGTTGTTGCTGACTTGATGTTCTCTTAATTATCGTTTGTTGTCGTTTTTCTATTGTTACTGATGTTGATGTTGGGAGATTGTTTCCTCATCGGCGAGATATAATTCGAAATTAGGTTGCAGAGTAAAATGTAAAGTTTTAAAAATTGATGTTCATTTTATCTTTTATATATATATATATATATCCAAAGTCAAAAGGACTAACACCAAATCAAGCTACATATTCAAGCATTTAATATATAATTCAAAATAAAAAATCTCTCTAGGTATATAGATTTAACATTTAATAATAATAGATTTTTATATTTATATCTTTTATAACCTCAATAAATTTTGATACAACAACTTTTATGTTTCTTAACTTTAAAGTTAGATTATTAATATTTTAGAAGTTATGATTTTATTCTCTTATGATATTTTCTAGTTATGTTTTTGGTCTCTTACATTATTTTTTTGTTTTTATTTTTATTAATAGTAACTTTTATATAAAAGTTATAAACTTTACGATCTTTATTTACATTCTTACTTTCTATTCATAGATTATATAAATGTTATAAATTTTTATGGTATTTCCTATTTATTATGGTACTAAGAGCAAAACTTTGTTTTGATATTTTATTTGGTCCATTTGATATGAAACAATATCTTTTAAAATGTGGACTATGAAAATTTTAAAAAGCGTGTTTTATATACAACTTTCCAAGAAGTTCTTTCGCGTAATGCGAGTGATGACTTCTTTCTGAAAATGAAAAATATAACACAAACCAATAAGTTTCCAAGCTTTTATGCAAAAAATAAACAATGCATTATTATTATTATTATTATTATTATTATTATTATTATTATTATTATTATTATTATTATTATTATTATTATTATTATTATTATTATTCAGAGAACCACTCATTTTTATTTATTTATTTATTTATTTTTATTTTTTTCAGGACAACCACTCACGTCAAATAAATTAAAAAAAAAACATTATTTTTTAAGAAAAATATTTTTTGTTCTTTAAAATGTTGGTTTTCTTACTTGAAAGTTTTAATTTTGGTACTTATATATATATATATATATATATATATATATATATATATATATATATATATATATATATATATATATATATATATTTCTCCACTTTGGATTTTGGCCATAATTGTTTTAGTTTGTTGTCACTTATAGTCCCTAATATCAAACATTTTCCACTTTGGATTTTGGCTACATTGGTTTTGGTTTATTGCCAATTTTAATCATTAATATCAATACTTTTCTACTTTAGCCCCTTGACTCATTGAGCTTATCAATAACAATAACTTTTTAGTTATTTTGATACTTTTTATCTTTGGAATCAAAACCTTTACATTTTGGTATAAAAACACAAAAAAAAACACCCTATGCAAAGCACGGGTTCTCCACTAGTTTATATATAACAAAGGAACCCAAACCAAAATAATTGGTTTTCTATTTTCTTCATTTTGGTATTGTTTATGTTTTATCGTTTTTTTTTTTTTTTGCTAACTTTGTCGTCCGCTATTAAGTTTTATATGAAAGTATATCATATAATAGTTTCGCAGAGATATTCATGATTTATATTGGATGTAATGTCCCAAAAACAATAGTATTTTTTTTTTCAATTTTAAATGCATTATAATAGAAATCATAAGTCACCAACACAAAGTTTTACAACCATATGAAAATCAGAGTAATAAGATCATAGTATCTCTCAAAATATGATACTAATGTATGATGTGTACAATCACATCATTGTTTTCCCGAGGTCATCTGAGGTACCTAAAACATTTAAATCAACAATTATAAGTAAAAGCTTAGTGAGTTTCCCACAAAACAATAACATACAATATGTGCATACATGAGCCTACAATCTCACTCTAATGCCTAAAGTACATTCGAACCGCTCTCATTTGGCCTATAATCTGATTGGACCACCTCGCAAGACATACAGTACACCTAGAATGCCTGTGTATCTTGGCTTACAACACAAAGCAGGACTGCCTTAACATAACCACAATATGTCGACATATACTAACAAATAAACAATATCCATCAAACACAATTAATCATACAGATATACTAATCTAACATTTAACTACAACATACCAACATCCTACACCCAAGGATACATACTGCACTACAAAGTATAATGAGAAAACTCACCTCGCAGTGATAAACGATATAACTCACACGAATCCAAGAACTGGTACTATGAGTCACCTATACAACAAACATGGACCAATCCTCAATCTACAACCTAAAAACCCTCAAGTTGGCTAAAAGCCAATTTAGTCAAAAAGTCAACGGTCAAAGTCAAAAATGACCACCACGTCATGGCAGCTCCACGACAAAATAATCACGACCAGACCAACCACCACGCCTGGTAGCAGCCCAAACAAATCAGTCACGAAGAACCCCCTCCTCCATGACGTAGTAAGCATGATGACATGTTGTTATGGACAACTAAATGGATTAATCCCTTAATCCATTAAGCCACACTATCATCTCTTATAGAAAGCTTCTTAACGCCCATAAGCTTCATAAAAACCTTTGATTTATGTACATGCATGTCTAATGCATGTCTTGAACTTGGTTTGGTCAAAAATAGTGAAAATGCTGTCAAAATGTCATGCATGTAACCAAAACTCAACCATTATTCAGATTTGGAACACTAAACCTCATAGGACATCAAGGATCCATAAAGGTACCAACTTTATAGAATTCATCCACTCAAACTCTCCCAAACACGGAGAAACATGCATACAAGTCAAGATCTAGCAACATAACACATAAATATTGGATTTTAAGACTTACAATGGTCTATACGTTATAAGGTGGTGAGGAAACTTGCTTGTTGGATATTTTCTCAAGGGACACCTTCTTTTACTTCAATGTCACCAAAAATGACCAAAAAGCTTCAATAACTCAACAACGGAGACTAAGGTTTGATTTGGGTCAAGAGGGAGTGGTGAAGGTTAAGGATAAGCAAACACTAACCATTACATCCCTTAAATAGGGAGTAAACCCTAAAAATTTAAGTCTACCATAAAACGATTGTCATGTCGTGTCTATAACCTTGCCACGCTTCAATACACACTACAATGCACATTTATTAACTGGTGAGGTCACGTCGTGGTGCCTCCCCCCACCACACCTTGAAAAAAGTCATGAACATCAACATAACGACCACCCACGTCATTAAGATATGTACCAACATCATCATCAGTAACATACTTGTAATTCTCAGGATCCGCATAGTGAGTAAGTGAATAAGTAACATTAACATTTTCAGCAACACTGTGAAATTGAGGTACACTAGGAGTATTGAAAGTACCTATCGGATCGTTGCTCCCTTTAAAGCTACAAAAATTACCATCCGCATTATTTCCATTGTTACCAACCTCATTAACCCGATCTCCTTCATTAGTCACCACAAACACTTTCATATCCCTTATTCCACTGCATTTTATTACATTAATCAACACTCTAACATCCATGTCTTCAACCGTGACTATATAATGATTCAATTCAGGATGATGGAAATGAAGATTAATTCTATATTTGTCTAACAACCCAATTTTGCTTCTCACCAACGATACAAAATCACTATAACTAATATACTTGGAAAATATCAAAGCGAATTTAGAAATACCCCCCTGTGGACATACATATTCCATATTTGTTTCAATAACTTGCCATCTCCCACCAGTTACAGGACAAAACAAATATTCAATCATTTTTAGAGAGATTTTTAAGAAATTTCCTAAAGAAAATAACAAGTAAAATGATAATTTTTTACAAAAGTTTATATATAATAATAAGGTAATTTCGTAGTCAAACCTATTGATTTCATAGTAAAAAAAAAATACATAAAATCGCAGATGGACACTATCCATCTACGATTTTAAGCTGATTAAGGGTATATATATACAAAAAAATAAAATAAAATAACCCCATTTGCGAACGTACAAGTGACTAAAGCACGTATGTGCTTTAGCCACTTGTACATTCGCAGATGAGATGTGCAAATCGCAGATGGACCATTCTCATCCGCGATTTCGGTGGCCAAATTTGCAACTTCAATTTTTTTGGTTATTTTCTACAAAGTAACAAAAAGAAACTATAGGAATCTTCCGAGTTAAAAAAAAAGTTAGGAACCAAACGCACAATACATATCCCAAACCATAGAGACTATTCGTGTAATTTACTGGAAAATAAATGATGAAAATATGATATATAACAAAAAAAGATTTTTACTTAAATTAATAATTTTAGGGCTTTAATTAGGGTTTATTTACCCCGGCGGGAAATCAAAATTTATTAAAATGAAACTCAAATTTCATAGCATCGGCGCCAAAAGATGACTTCGCAGTTTTGCATTCCAAACAGCGACACAACAAAAGACGCCTTATTTGTGCTGCTTCTCTCCTGTGAAGCCACCGGCGGGAGCGCTGCACCCCACTATTACCGGAGACCTTCGACTTTCGACCCCATTGCTACAGGTTCGTTTCTTCCAGCATTCGTTCTATTTATTTTTTCCTGCTGTCGCTCTTTATTCTTATCGCTGGATTCGTGTTTCTTGAATTTTCCATCTGGAATCTGTATAGGCCCTACAGTACCAGTTTTCACCGTCCGTCGCCTCTGGTGAGCATTCTTTGACCGCCGTCTTCAGGCCCTGCAACGGTAATTACTGATATGTGTTTCTTATTCTATTCTAGTTTTTTAGTACAACAGAAACTGAAATCGATATTATTCCATTGTATTTTCATCTCCACATAAAAATGCTTCTTATTTCGTTCTTCTTCCTCCTTTAATGGGATGGGATCGGATTTCGATGCAAGTATTTGTTCGTTTTTTTTTGAAAACCTTCTCTGGAACACTTGAACACTGATTCCAGATGCGGTTGGAATCACACTTCTAATTTGTGAAACTAACTGTGTTGGAATCGATTGCCATGGTTTAGTTAAAAAGTTCACAATATATATCATCAATATTGGATGTAGCATGTTTCAGGAATTTATCCACAATATGCAATTAATATGAGAGGTATCCAAGCACATCAGAAGTTGCCATTTTGTTATTAGCCTCGTAAATCCGATTTCTAACCAACGGAGCCCATCCTACAGCATTGCTCTGTCACAAATTCGTGCTCTTGTGATTTGATGAAGATTGTTTGTTATTTGTATAAGAGGCGAAATATTATCTGATTATCTCCATTATTGCAGTTTCTTTCAAATGAATTTAGACTTGTTGATTTAGGGCTTTTTTGGAGGAGAATTGGGACTTTTCAGTTTGGGTTTGATTTTTGAATTGGTTCTTTAGTTTCTGTGAATGTGAATCTGATTTTGGTTTCTGTGAATCTGAGTTTGGTTGAATTATGTGATAACCTGCTCATACTATGTTGAGTTATGATACCTTCAATGTTGTTGATACTTATATCATATTTTGAATGTAATTTAGGAAGTCTTTCTTCAGCTCAAGTTGTTATTCACAGCAACAACAAGCTATGCAATCGAAAATAAATTCATTCTTCATACCTTCTTCTTCTTCTTCTTCTTCCACATCACGAAGCCAAGCCCTAGATTCACCTCTTCCCCCCCTTTTGGATAACTTGTCTGATGAAGAAGACTTCACCAGAGAACCTGAAATTCCCATCATATACACGCGAAGAGCTCCAAACACAGATAGGTATATTCATTGCTCAGTCTTATCTCTATACACTTTCACATTTGCATCAGTTGTTATAATAATAATCCACGTGGTGTTTCTGATATTGCAACTGATGTAACATTGCCACAGTTTTAAATTCTTAATATAAGAATTTCACAAACTGTTTCAGTTTTGTTATTAGTGTCATTGAGAAGATTTTCATAGAAGAAGTCTGAGAAGTTAACAAATTGGAGTATGTAAGAAATTAATTGAATATGAAATGTTTTGCTTTTTGCATTCAAGGAGACAAAAAAACTATTTGGGCGTGTTGAATTTTTAGTTTATTTCACTTTAGAAGTCAAAAAGAATGTTTACCTCTAGAACAAAGAAATTAGGTGACTAAAGTTGAGTTTTGGTTTTGGATATGCAGAGCTAATGATGATGTTTTCAAAGAAAATGATCCAAACAAACAGTTAGTTGCAACAAATTCCAAAAAGGTTTTAAACAAGAAAAGGAAGTATGCACAATTTCATTTGGATTTAGGTCAATCCGATTTTCTATTACACACCTGTAAAACTTGTGGATTCAAGTTTGCTCCTGGAGATGAAGAAGATACAAGGGTTCACAAAGAGTTTCACAAAAGCTACACTCATGGTATTCATTTCAAGGTTAGCATTCTTTATCCTTATTATATCTTTGATTTTTCCAAAATTTTCTTTTACTCATTGATTTTTTTACACTGAAGGGTTGGCGTAATGAAAGAGTTATAGATACACACTCATTAGAACATGGACGTGTTATTTTGGTCCTTAATGATGATCCTCCTGCTCATATTAAAAAGGTACATTCAACATCATATAAATAATCAATTTCTTGCTTAATAAAATCTTGTAATTACAGGTTGAGGAGGTTATAAAGATGATGGAGATGGAGCTTGGTGATGGATGGATCTTCCATAAAAACTGTAAGGTGACTATTTTTCACAAATATTTTTCTTGATTTAATTACTTTTTTGTAACTAATCTTTCAATTTTTCATGTATAGGTTTATCTTTATATCTCCTCTCAACGGGTTGCTGGATGTCTAGTTGCAGAGCCAATAAACAACGCTTATCCTTTAGTTTCAAACTCAGACCAAAACACCACTCTAAAGGAGGTCAAAAAGTCAACTCCAACCACTCTACAATTCGGTAGCATTAGTTTCCAAAGAGAAATCATAAAAAAAGATAAAAATCAAAGAAATTCAAACGACAACACACTCTTTGGAGCAATCATTTGTGAAAAAGACTCGATCCCTGCTGTTTGTGGCATCCGTGCAATTTGGGTCACACCCTCCAACAGAAGAAAACACATTGCCACTCATTTACTTGAAGCCACAAGGTACCCTTCACACACACACACAAACACAGAACACAGATACTTTAATGCCTTCAAAGTTCTAAACTTTACTGTTTTTTTTTTTTTTCACATGAATGTAGGAAAAGTTTTAGTTTGGATGTGATTCTTGAACATTCTGATTTAGCATTTTCTCAGCCAACAAATGTGGGGAAGTTGTTAGCATCAAGTTACACCAACACCAAATCTTTCTTGGTTTACACAACAAATTCATAGCAAGCCAATAAATCTTGAATTCTTTTCATGATTTCAAGAAACACTGTTAAATTTTATTCATGGTATGATATTTATTCACTGTGAATTATTAAACATATATGCATCGGGGTTTTTCGCAATGGTGCCATTATCAGAACCCTCAAACTTTCCTTCTCAATCTTGTATGATATACCCATCCATACCTTCAATCAAACTACACTTGTATGTGAATGTCTTTTCATTGACTTCATGTATTTGATGCTTCACATAACCTACATACATTTTTGAAATTAAACACAAATATTTGCCCCTATTAATAGATATATTGGATTGGATATAAGTTTACCAGGAAAATGACTTAAAAGTCCAACAAAGTTTCCAAACTATTCAAAAAATCTCAATTATGTTTTGTCTGTTTAAAAAAACCCAAAGAACTTAACTTTTTGTCTAAAAAGTCCAACAAAGTTCCAAACCATTCAAAAAATTCCCAATTTTTTTTTTTGTTTAAGTTTATTGGGTTTTTTTTAACAGTCAAAACATGATTGGAGTTTTTTAAATGTTTTGGAAACTTTGTTGATCTAACAAGTCAATTTCCCGATACGGTAATAAGCCACATCATCTATTTATCTTATTTGACTTTCAGGAAAATGTAACTTAGTTGGCATTTTTAGACAAAATGTTAAATTCGTTGGATTTTTTTGGACAGACAAAACATGATTGGGGTTTTTTGAACAGTTTGGAAACTTCGTTAGACTTTTAAGTCATTTTCCCTAAGTTTACCTCCAGCAAAGTTAATCTGCATAATGCTTCTGGCCCCACCATTACCTTTGATAATGATCATTACAAAAAATGACCATGTTGCGTTTCAGCAATGTGGTTCTCCCAATTTAATGACAAAACATGACCATTTTACCTTGTCTTTGGGTTTTGGAATTAATATTAAATACAAATAACCATTATAATGGATAATGTGGTCTTAAAATCAGAAAAAGACAAGGTTGCTCCATTGTTGTATTTGTATTTTGAATGCATATATATTGTTAACCTGATAATTTGTCTTTTTATTTTTTTTAGTTTTTATTATTATTTTTTTTTGTGAATTAGCAGTTAACCTTAAACCACTTTTTGATTTAAACTCTAATATGTAATATATATTGTTGAGCTTTGATAATTTTTTTTGGTATTAGAAATTAACCATAAAATAAAAATGTAATTTGAAAGTACATTGCATGATGTAAAAAGAGAACACTCACAAAATGGGAGAAACTCAAACGTATTCTAAATTAAAAAAAGGTATTTTATTTTATTTTTTATTAAAGAATTTTCATTTTGTTAATTTTCTATTTAACAATGTATGAAAGTAGCTAGGAATACAACTTATATTGTTGTTTATTTTAAAAGAAATGCAAGTATGATGCTAATATTGTAAAATAAACTATAATACAATGTTATTTCATGTTGTGTGTGTATTTAAGTGTTTATTGCTACTTATTTTTTTATGAACTGAAATTTAGGATTATGGTAAGCTCATGTAGATTACACCTTGCAAAAATGGTCTAGAAAACGTAATAGGGTGCAAAAACATAAAGATTATTTGAAAATTGCCAATTTTCTCAAAACAATACTCATGAAAGTGCATTTGGAAATCAATCTTCTATACAACTAAACACCATACAAAAATCAACTACTTATATATGTTTGATAATTGCCTAAGCAAAGTCCACTAGTACAGGTCTCATCGGAAGTAATACGTCGGTCTTGTGATTTAGAAATTAAACAAGTTTTTTTTACAGCCGTAAGAACAAATGTGTATGTCCAACACGCATACCTCATTTAGGGTTAGACTCATGAAAGGGTAAAATTGTAATATGCAAGTATAAGTGGTTAATAATTTGATTATGCATTAACCTATATATTTTTTTCAATTAAATTTGATTATTGTGACATCCCCAATTTCACGGTTAGAAAAGACCGATTTGTTTATGCTTTGTTTTTAAAATCAGAGTAATCGTTTAAAGAAAACTGTTATACAATTTTTCCCAAAACAAAATATGATAAGAATTTATCAAAACATTTCTTAAAGAAATGTATTTTCATTATATAACAAAATCTTGGGATGTCATATTCCGATATAGATACATAAGCATAAACAGAACTTATATTTATTTACACTAATGATTTACATCTCCTTTAATCTCTTAGTGAAATATGTCTTCGTATTGATACCTGTGATACAAAGAAAAAGTAAATGGGTCAGGTTTGGGAGCCTGATGAACATATAAGGTTTTCAACCCACAATAATATAATTATTATATTTAATCAACAAATAATCAACCCAATTACCCATCCTCATTATCTTCTTTATTCTTAAGGTTTTATCGTAAGAACCAATTATCCTTGATTCATTCATTCCTAAGGATTTACCTAAGGAATTGACACGAAGTCCATTGCTGCCAAAGTTTATCTATCAGGTACTAAATCCATAGCTATCAGACGCTAACTCCATAGTCACCAAGGTTTACTTAACAAACACTAACTCCATAGTCTCTAAGGTTTACTCGACAAACGCTAACTCCATAGTCGCCAAGGTTTACTCATGTGACAACCCGATATTTCGAATCAATGTAATGATCCAAAAAGTTAAGAATTGTAACCCCTTTTAATATAATGATATTATTGTCGAAAATAAAATGTTCAAAAGTCATATGCTGGATTTCATAAAGGATAGATATCGTGTATAAAGAACACTGAAAACCGAGTTATAACGAAAAAGTTATGACCAACTTAAGATTCACAACAAAAACTGTCAATAAGGTTAAACGTAAAACGAGAAATTTCAATAAAATACTTATTAGCCTTAGGTATCTAAATAAAATTCGAAGATATTATTAAACCATGAACATACATAAAAAGAGCGCCCAAATATGACTTCGTATTGGGAAGTTATGATTTTTTGAAGTTTCGGATTTAGCAGTAGACAACTAAAAACTCGAAATAGAGATCGATGGATTTTTGACCGAAACAATCTAAATGAGAATCGAAGACCTCAACAATGGTAGTACAACGGTAAAAAGTCTGTCGAAAAAAGACATCGGATGAAGAAGTTATAGATTTTTAACGGACCTTTCGTGTCCCAGCCTATTAAAAATAATATAATTAAAATAAAGTCAAAATTAACCGACGAAGTCTAAATGAAAGTTGTAGAGTACATTCTCACCTACGCGTGGATATAATGAACGCGAAAAACGGAGCTCGTACACAAAAGTTATGCAATTTAGAAGTTGGAAAAATCCATTTACGCCCCGCGTAACAGATGATAGGAGCTTCGTCCCATCGGCCACAAGCACTTCCATTGGACAGAAGCCCTCTCATCCGAAGTGCATAAGCAATGAAGTCCTACTACGCCCCGCGTAACCTCGTACGCCCAACGTACCGAGGCGGTTCAGCCCCCCTATAAAAGGGATGCGAGGGTTCCGGGCAAAATTGCTCATTTTCTCTCCTTCTCTTGCGTTTTTACTCCGTTTTGTGTGCAAGAAATATCCCAAAGCCCCGGTTTTCATACCCATGTCCCGAAGGAAGTTTTACGCTCCCGAGATTCCCAAAAATCCTGAGAAATCTGCTTTCTCCTTCCAAAGTTCTGTTCGGTTTTCGTCTCACTTTCTTCAATCTATCAGGTGAGTTCATACCCTTATAACTATGTTTTCAAATGCTTTGATACACTTTTAAGGGGGAAAATACAAGTAAACACACGATTATCCTCGTGTGAAAAACAGCAATCTCTTGCTATACTTTTTGTTGTAATCAATAATATGTGATTTATAACTACCATATGAAAACATTCTCTTACAACATATCATGATAACACTTTGTCTTTTTGGAATGAAACATGTTGTTATATAAATATCAAACACTTTATTTATATTTTGAGTATAAATTTTCAATAATGTTATACTTTACATACAAAGTCGACACTACACTAGGGTTTACCATACAAACGAAACATACTTTTGGAAAAACTATAATAGGTATAGTTTACTAGATATTCATGGGATGTTACATACTATAAGTACTATATCAAGGAAATACTTTCATATACAAGAACAAATGGACTTTTCATACGTAAATCTATTTGATACTAAGTTTTGTGAGACATTCAACTTCACGTACTTTCAAGTATGCAGTTAACGTCCTGTATTATATACCATAATCTCTTGTAAGGAGAGCGTGATATTTGTGATGGGTTTTAAACTAACAATCCTATGTGTGCATGCAACCCTAGATTTTGGATCTATGTTTTCACTATTAGATACACAACATTTTGAACACATTAGGAACCTTAGCATGCTCCTAGTATTTTCAAAATTCATATAGAAAGATAGATCACATACCTCTTGTTGTTATATCGCTATAACAACTCAAATCTTCAAACTCTAAGTCTTGAAAGCAAGTACCACAAGTGTAGTACCTCTAATGGCTCACAAACACAACAAGCAATTGGAGAGGCAATAGATAGAGAAGAGGAGAGGTAGAAATCGGTTCTAGGAACCCTAGGGATCAAGTCTATGATTTCTCTGGCCTTAGGGGTCCTTTTATATGGTAGAGATTAGGGTTTCAGTTCTTATCCTTATCTAGTTGCTTGCCCACCAAGTAACCAAAAGATAAGCCTTGAAAGCCCTTATCCTTGGAAGATTTCAAGGATTCCTTATCCCTTGAATTCGTCCAACCTATGTCTAGGGTAACCATTGCCCTAATATGCAACTATCACATAATTACAATTCAGCTCCTCTAGTTAATTAACTACACTTGATCACAAAATTAATTCCTAATTAATTATTGACCAATATTAATTAAACAAATATGATTTCTCCTTTAATATATTATTCTTATAATATATTAATAAATCATAATAACCTCTTTCTCTATATTTATTTCTCCAGTCAAGTTGCTTTGGTGAAGGCAACCCAAAAGGACCATGCACAACCGGGTCAAGTACTTACCAAATATGGTTACGGGCTTAAACACGAATCCAACAATCTCCCACTTGGATAATTCTAGTAACCACAAATGCAAGTACAACTCGATTAGCAATCGTAGCTCTCAAAGTCGTTGTCGAACTCTGATCTTATCCGTAACCTGTCCTTTAGATAAGGGATCATATATTCCTCCATTCTAGATATCGTATAGACCTGAA